GGAGATCGACGAGGATGTCACACACCGTATAGGGGTGGGGTGGATGAAGTGGAGGTTAGCGTCGGGAGTCTTGTGTGACAAGAAAGTGCCACCGTTACTAAAAGGTAAGTTTTATAGAGCAGTGGTTAGGCCTGCCATGTTATATGGAACTGAATGTTGGCCGGTTAAGAACTCACACATCCAGAAGATGAAAGTAGCAGAGATGAGGATGTTGAGGTGGATGTGCGGGCATACAAGGATGGATAAGATTAGGAATGAAGATATTCGAGAGAAGGTGGGCATGGCCCCCATGGAGGATAAGATGCGGGAAGCAAGACTCAGATGGTTCGGGCACATTCAAAGGAGGAGCACTGAGGCACCGGTGAGGAGGTGTGAACGAGTGGCTGTGGTGGGCACGAGAAGAGGTAGAGGGAGACCTAAGAAGTATTGGGGAGAGGTGATCAGGCAGGACATGGAGCGACTTAGGATTACTGAGAACATGGCCCTTGACAGGGAATTATGGAGGTCGAGCATTAAGGTTGTAGGCTAGGGGGAAGTTGTGAGTATTTCTACAGCGCACTAGAGTGAGACTAGCCAGTTATAAGTTAGTCTTAGGATGCTACTGGTCAGCTACTGATGCAGGGCTTTATCTGCTGGATACTATTATATCTTCCATCTTTTTCATATTTCCTATATTTCTTATATTGCTGTTATTTTTATTTTATGTTATATTATGTTATTTTATTATGAGTCTATTGATAGTACTAATATATCGTCTCTTGTCGATGTGTACATATTATCCTCCCCAGACCCAACTTGTGGGATTATACTGGGTTGTTGTTATTGTATCTAAACATAATAACATTTCAATAAAGTAATATGTATTAGGCAAATGAGTTATTATGACAGCAACAATTTAAAAAAGCAAGAAAATAATATAAAAGATAATAAAAGCTTACGCAAAACAAAATAAAGTTAGAGAAATTTTTGAAAAACTCAAGCAAAATATGGAATAAGAAATAGAATAAGAAAGGTTAATTATGGAAAGAAGGAAGCTTACCTACGGTTAATAGAGAGCCCTGGTGAGGAGGAGAAGAGAGCGAACAATGAGAGGTATAAGGTAGCTAGGAAGGAGGCGAAGATGGCAGTAACAGAGGCTAAGACAGCAGCTTTTGCTCGTCTGTATGAGGAACTAGGGAACAAAGGCGGGGAAAAGAAGTTATTCCGAATCGCTAAGGTGAGAGAGAGGACGGCTCGGGATCTGGACCAAGTGAGGTGCATAAAAGATGATGACGGCAAAGTTTTGATGGGGGGTGACCAGATTAAGAGGAGATGGCAGACCTACTTTCATAAACTCCTAAATGAAGAAGGGGATCAAGATATTTTACTAGGTGAATTGAGGAATGTCGACAGTCCCCATGAATTAAGTTATTGTAGGGATATTGAGGTTGATGAGGTCATGGAGTCAATGCGTAAGATGAGAAGGGGCAGAGCTACCGAGCAGACGAAATTCCGGTTGAACTTTGGAGGTGTGTGGGAAGAGCAGGCTTGGAATGGCTTACTGGGTTGTTTAATGTTATATTCAAGACTAATAGGATGCCTGAAGAGTGGAGGTGGAGTACAATGGTTCCGTTATATAAAAACAAAGGCGATATCCAGAGCTGTAACAACTATAGGGGTATCAAATTACTGAGTCATACCATGAAAGTCTGGAAGAGAGTGGTAGAAGTGAGAGTGCGAAAGATGGTGTCTATTTCAGACAACCAGTTCGGGTTCATGTTGGGGCGATCTACCACAGAAGCTATCCACCTTATTAGGAGGATGGTGGAACAATACAGGGATAAGAAGAAGGATCTCCACATGGTGTTTATTGATCTAGAGAAAGCGTACGACAGAGTTCCTAGGGAGGTCTTATAGAGCTGCTTAGAGGTTAAAGGGGTCCCGGCGGCCTACATTAGGGTGATTAAAGACATGTATGATGGAGCTAAGACTCAGGTTAGGACAGTAGGAGGCGACTCCGAGCACTTTCCGGTTGTTACGGGATTACACCAAGGGTCTATGTTCAGCCCTTTCCTATTTGCCCTGGTGATGGATGCACTAACTCATCATATTCAAGGAGATGTGTCATGGTGCATGCTATTTGCTGATGACATAGTTCTAATTGATGAGACACGAGATGGCGTCAACGAGAGGCTAGAGGTTTGGAGACAAGCCCTTGAGTCTAAAGGCTTCAGGTTGAACAGGACGAAGACGGAATACCTCGAGTGCAAATTTGGGGCCGAGCCGGCGGAAATGGGAGTAGAAGTGAGGCTTGACTCTCAAGTGATTCCTAAGAGGAGTAGTTTCAAGTACCTTGGGTCAGTTATTCAGGGGATCGGGGAGATCGGCGAGGATGTCACACACCGTATAGGGGTGGGGTGGATGAAGTGGAGGTTAGCGTCGGGAGTCCTGTGTGACAAGAAAGTGCCAGCGTTACTAAAAGGTAAGTTTTATAGAGCAGTGGTTAGGTCTACCATGTTGTATAGGACCGTGTATTGGCCGGTTAAGAACTCACACATCCAGAAGATGAAAGTAGCAGAGATGAAGATATTGAGGTGGATGTGCGGGCATACAAGGATGGATAAGATTAGGAATGAAGATATTCGAGAGAAGGTGGGNNGGATGCTACTGGTCAGCTACTGATGCAGGGCTTTATCTGCTGGATATTATTATATCTTCCATCTTTTTCGTATTTCCTATATTTCTTATATTGCTGTTATTTTTATTTTATGTTATGTTATGTTATGTTATTATGAGTCTATTGATAGTACTAATATATCGTCCCTTGTCGATGTGTACATATTATCCTCCCCAGACTCCACTTGTGGGATTATACTGGGTTGTTGTTATTGTATCTAAACATAATAACATTTCAATAAAGTAATATGTATTAGGCAAATGAGTTATTATGACAGCAACAATTTAAAAAAACAAGAAAATAATATAAAAGATAATAAAAGCTTACGCAAAACAAAATAAAGTTAGAGAAATTTTTGAAAAACTCAAGCAAAATATGGAATAAGAAATAAAATAAGAAAGGTTAATTATGGAAAAAAGCTTACAGACAAAAGAAAGGGAGGAACAAAAACAGAACAACAACAACAACAACGACCTAGTGAAATTCCACTAGTGAGGTCTGGGGAGGGTAGTGTGTACGCAGATCTTACCCTACCCCGAGAGGGTAAAGAGGCTGTTTCCGAAAAGGAACAAAAATAGAAATTTCTTTAAATTTCAGAGAGAATTTAAGAAAGAAGGGTCAAAGTAAAATCAATGAGCTTTGCTTTGATTTTTCTGAAAAAACAAAAACACATTTTCTTGCTTCTATAGCAATTACCTCTGTTTGTGAACATGAAAAACTTTATAAACTTTTTCAAATAAAACACAGTTGAGAAACTTCTTGGAATCTGCCAGGAAGATAGGTATAATGACACAGTAGGAATCAACACATTCAGATTTGCACAAAATTTGTACAGGAAAAATGAGCCAATGTATAATAGAGCTGTAGTAAGCACTGTTGATAAGACCATTATAGCAGAAACATTGACCTTACAATATCATCACCAATTTCTGGAGTTATACTAATGCTTCTTCTTCGTAATCTTCGTGTTTCTGATGTTGATGCACCTTCTGACCTGTGAAACACAGAAACAATAGGGAACTCGAGAATTCTGAAAAGAAAAAAAAAGAAAATTTTTGAAAGGGTAACATATAAAAAATAATAATAATATTTGACAATCCTGATATGTTGATTCAGTTATTAACAGGAAACAGGGTGCATTTTACGAGCATAAAAGTTTAGAACCTGCACATATTTTGACTTAGATGCACACTAGCATTTTTGGTATTACCTCTCCCCATAAAAATATGAAAGGGCAATGTAGTTCTGTTGAGAGCAGAAAAAATGAACAAACTGCACATAGTTTTTCCATTTTAAAGAGGTTTTAATTTTACTCAGCCCTTCCAGGGGCAGGCAGGGTTAAGGCTGCGTACATGTTATCCTTCCCAGACCCTACATATTTCTGATTCTTTATTGTTTTCTAGATTTCTTTATTCTTCTAACATTTTTGTTTTAATACAGTAACGGTCACAAGTATGTAGCCCTTAATTTTAACAGCATGTTGAAAATAGTTTTTGAGTTAACCGACACCTAAGCATCTCAGTGAATTGCACTAAGGTACAACGATTGTCAGAAATGTGAGAGGCTTCATCATGTGAAGCTTTAGCATGACATAGTTCAGAGTTTGGTCGTTTGTAAACATCAGACACCTTGTAGGAAGTCATACAAGCAACAAAAAAGAAATCACAATTGTCCCTCTTCTAAGAGTAAAAGTTCAAAGCATAACCTACAGATTTCACATGCTCCTACCATTTTAACACTAAAATATTTTCAGTCTTATGCTCCCTCGTTAGACAAGAGGGGTTGCTCTGATGGATGGTAAGCAACCTCCACTTCCAACCAAGAGGTTGTGAGTTCGAGTTTCCCCAAGAGCAAGGTGGAAAGTTCTTGGAGGGAAAGATGCCGGGGATCTATTTGGACACAGTCTCTCTATCCCAGGGTAGGGATAAGGTCTGCGTACACACTACCCTCCCCAGACCCCACTAAGTGAGATTATACTGGTTTGTTGTTGTTGCTCCCTCATTAGAAACTAAAAAATACATTTTGAGAATTCTTATTTTACTAAAGAGATAAATGAACTTTTGATCCTTGAGTTACGGTAAATTCTGATTATGATATTTGGCTGAGCATATTTAGCCTTCAATAAATTAAATTGTGTGTTTCTTTATCTCTTTATAACATACAAGTCTCCAATCCTAAAAATGTTGGAAGTAATGTAAGTATAACACCAACTTATCCTTAATCCCAACTCTTTATTACATACAAATCTCCAAGTAGCTGCCTATTTCTACTACTTTCTAGGAAACAGGCCACAAGTATCCCAGAATTGATGTACTACATCCAAACGCAAGGGGGGCTAGAGAAATTGAGTATGAAAAAGCTATTATAGATATACTATCATTAGCTCTGCACATTAATCACTTTTTCTAATCATTTAACTTCACTACTATCATTAATACAGTAACGGAGTCCTATCCCAAATACTATCGTATCATAAGGATAATACTACAAAACTACATCTCTCTTCAAATTGAAGAGCTAAATATTTCATTTGCTTGATAAATCTACTATCCATTTCCTCCCAGCTGATTCTTGATTTTGTTGCATTTCCTCCGTCAAATTTCAAAATATTTGTATCCGTCACCAGAATTGGTCATTCCCTCTTCCCAATCACCCATCCGACGACCACCAAAAACCACTTGTTGAATGCCTAAATATCTGCATAGTGAACTACACATGTTAGCATCTCAGCTAAGATGATGTCAACCACTCATAAATTTGATAGTGAAACGCTTACTCTGAGCTCAATACAGTCAAGCAATTGAGAAGTACGTCAATTGAGAAGAAATCAGCTGTACCAAGATCCACCCTATTATACACATGACCAAGTTGAAATAAGCAAGTTTTTCCACACTAAAGAAAAGAAGCATTACAAGGAATCTTTAACGAAATATTTGTAAATTTAAATGAGAAAGGTGCAAAGAAAGGCATACCAAACTCTGCCCCAATTGTCCTGGAATTCAACATTACTTATGTCATGGAACGATGAAGGCATCACCTTGGAGCCTTTGTCTGCATCATAAAGAGGATCAAACTCCAACGATGAACCCCCCAGCTGCATTCATTTAACACAAATATGAACCTTACCCAATCATGTTAAAGGGAGAGTTCAATTCTTTGCAATCAAAAATTTCAGAAAAAGAAAAAAGGGGATGAATGAACTAAAATGATCAAGCACAGAATAGAACTAATAACTTCATACAGTTACAACTGGACCTAATACCATCTTGTTTTGAGGTATTAAAAACTTAAAGGACGATGATTGTATGTACTCCACTTAATGATTGGTTACTTGCTAAGGAAGCAGAGTGATGGGAATGACAACACTAAACAACGGCAGGACACAGAAATAACAGGTGTTCACCTGCAAATTAGATGAGTTAAATGCGCCTAATCGGCCGATGACATACCATGCCTGGATAACCTGCCATTAGGAGCAAAAGATCTTCCTCAAGTTATCAAACTCAATAGGCTAAAAGTAAGTCATGTGATGTGAGAACAGAGAAGCAAACAACATACACTACCGAGAAGGTTAACGTCTCGATCAGATGGTGAGCCGTATAATTCGAACCATATGTACGAATCAAGAGGATTAAAACTGACAATTCAAGTTAGATGCAGTGAGTGATATATCTTAACATTATAGCAAAGAATAAAAAAGAATATTGCAATAATAGGCAACATTTTCAGTTTAATGATTATATTGTTAACTTAGTGTCATAGCCCAAGCTCATGACCGAACAGACCTCACGGACAGCATCAGACCAAGGATTTGATGGGGATGGGTGCACCACTACATCTAACAGACCTGTTGTAGCCATAGAATATGCATAAGGGTGTGATTGGTTCAATGGGTTTTTGGATAAGGGATATTCAAAATAAACCCATCAAAAAGGTAAAGAAAAGGGACACCCTTACTCGAGAAGACTGAAAATTTCCCCAAGGGAGTAGTTGCTCAAAAAGTAAACTATCCAATACTTGAAACTATTTATCCATAATAATTATTATTTCCACACAGTATATTTCATTCACCAATCAGGCACTAGAAACATTTTCCGACGAAAATATTTTCCTTCATACCAAAAACATATATGTTCTACAAAGACAGTCAACTAAAACTGCTGAACAATTTATTGTATAAGGGCCTATAAATATCTGCAAAGCATTTGCAGCTTTGTGACAGCTGATGTTAAGAAATATAAAGCACGAATAACAAACCAAAAGGCCATGTATTTGAATTATAATAACTCAGATTAACTCCAGTGCATTTCCTGATCTATACCTTCTTTTTAGTTGTAGGACCTGTGTTGCTACAATCACACGCGCAATAGGCCCAAATAGAGATTTTAATGAACTATTAGCCCGTCGAACAAAGCAATTTTGACAAGAACCCTATATTGTCAGACAAAATAACCTTAGTGTGACACCTAAAGAAGTGAACAAAGACATGGACTAATTCTTCTTCTCCGCTTTTATATTTAACAGAATGAAGTGCACTACACCAGGGAATTTTAAGAAGACGGAAGAGTCAGAATTTAATTACTCTCTAAAGCTGACTTTGAATGTAAGCACAGATCCTGTTTTAGACTTGTAAAAATTTTGGCCCTTGGTTCGAACTCTTTCTTCGACCTATCAAAATGGAGAAAAGGATAAATTTAATTGAAATTTAATCAATAAAAAAGTGGAGTATTTAGAAAAGGATAAAATAGCACCCACCCTTTTCCTCATAAGCTCTGGATTGCCAATACTATCACCAAGCACAGCACGAAGCTCTGTGTCATGCTTACAAGCATCTTCTAGCACTCTGAAAAAACAAACAAAAAACGAAATGTTTCAAGCACCGACCGTGGTGGAGACTAGGCCATGTAACATAGAATAAAATCAAGGGAGAAAGAAAAAGACTTGGCCCAAGCAGGGTAGTTGTGGAGACGTTCATATTCACGTTTCCTCTTCTCCTCCCTGACCTTCAACAGCCTCCGCCCTCTGGCGGTGGTTCCCGACCCTTTGGCACTACTACTACTAGTAGCATCTGCACTTAAATCTCCCGCTGCAGCAGCAGTAATCGTCAAACATTCCATCTCCCTCTTTCTAATTGATAGCCAAGGACGTGAAGAGACACTCCATAGCGCCGGCGCCGGCGCCGGCGGCGCCACTTGAGGAAGATTAAAGTGGAGGAATTGTTGATGTGTAAAAGACATTGGATGCATTCTTAGCTTTATCTTGGAGGAATACTCTGCTTAAGAATTCAAGCTTTTTATTTTATTTTCAAATTGGACATAAAATCTCTTTATTTATATCTCTACTTTAATAGAATGTTTAATGGAGAATATTAAAGTAATTAAGCATTAGATTTAAAGGACTATCACTCTAAAAGTCAAAATAATAATCTCATAGAATATTATTGAAGTATAAGCAAAGACGGCTAAAAAATATTGGAGGCCTAAAGCCAAACATTATTAGGAGGTCTCAATCTTTAAAAAGAAATTCACATTGATTAATTTGATTAATACTTTATAGTTGATATATGTGCACTATATATATATATNAGCTTATAATTTGATATCAGAATAAATTCTATTATTTTAACTTGTTTGTTGTAATGCTCGAGGACTTCAGAATAATAAAATTTTTATAAAAATTTATTCCATGTTTTTCATTCCTTTTTTTTAGAGAATAGACAGCTTAGTAATTAAAGGGAAAAAAGAGAATATAAAATACAAGTTTTATTATGAGAAAAAAATAAAATATTAATATTAGAATATAAATTAACTACTAGTCATCATCAATCACATTGACAAAATAATTCTTCTCCTATTTTATGCGTATCTTATAATCTTTTATCATAGATAGTTAATATTTCTTAAAGGATATTACCATAGAATTAATATAGTATTAATTTTAAATTGGGCCCCCAAAATTTTGGGGGCCTAAAGCCATTGCTTCATTTGCTTGGCCCTTCAGCCGGCACTGAGTATAAGATAACATGCTAGATTTTGGATCCTATATTCTTTTGTATGTAGATTACTCTCACGACCCGTTTGGGGGAAGTGCACGGTTAGCTACTAATAACACATATATTTATTTTAAAGCCACTGTTTAAAATGTCTTTAGTCTTTAGCCACTACTTTAATAAACTTTAACTACCCGGATGAAAATACCCTTCTGCTCATGTCCTTAACTTTTGAACTTGGAACTCTAAGTTTAGGACTTCAGGACTACATGTCCTTAACTTTTGAACTTAACTTCAGGTCTACATGTCCTTAATTTTTGAACTTGGAACTCGAAGTTTAGCACCAAGTGTCCTTAACTTTTGAATTTGTAACTGTAAGTTCAGGATCCATAACGTAGCAGAAAACCAAACGTTATTGTATCTTTTCACACAAAAAAAATAGAAAAAAATAATTGCAATTTTCATATAAGATTGATGTCAAATAAAGTGCACACAATTCTTTCAGAATCATCGTAACTTGCTATTGATTGTTCCAATAAATAAAACCAAAAACGGTAGTAACCCATACTACAAATCTTAAGAATGTATATCTGTATCGATACTCTGAACCAAAGCACTTCTATCCAATAAATGAACCCATAACGAGATCAACATTGCTAAATGAATGTAACATCGTTTCTGTCTTTTGATATTTCTCAATTCTCGTCGATATAGAGGCAACTTGGTATTAGCTATATTGTGGCGTCGTCCAGAGAATGTGGAACTTGAGAAGGTGAAAGTTGTTCACTACTGTGCGGCGGGGTCAAAGCCAAGAAGGTTCACTAGCAAGGAAGAGAACATCGAAAAGAGATAGAAGAAAGGGTAATATTGTCTTTTTATATTAATTTTAATAGACTAGTGGCTACTTTTGCTCAGCATTAAAAATACTGGATAAAAACTAAATACCACTTTAAAAAATGGTTATCCCACGCAATTTTTACCCCCGTTTGGCCATAAATTTTACCAAAATATATTTGGCTTTTTTGGGGGTAAATATATGTTGGAATTTTTACATTCCTATGCCACGTAGAAAACCTTATTACCCTCAATATTTAAGGTTTGACTTAATTACACTTAGTATACCAAATTACCAATTCTATACCATAGTGTATTTTAAGGGTACAATTAATGCAGTATATATCCCTCCTTAATTCAAGGTACCGTATATCTCACCCCTCCCACGTTTCTCTCTCCCAAAACCTCACCCTCACCCACGTTTATATAATGATACTAGGCACCACTGGTTCAGGGGGTAATGAGCCTTCCAGATCTTGCCTCATAACATCAGGTGACGAATCCTTTATAGCCTTCTAAGACAAAGCATCACCTGCCTGCATACGGCGATTCAATTCCTCCAATTTAGCAAGAGCTTTGGCTTTCTGTTGTTTACTTCGTTCTTCCTCTTCTTTCTGTAGCTGTAAGGTACGGTGCCTGGCTAACTCTTTCATCTTTGCACGCTAATGAAAGCAAGTAGCATATATTAGATTTGATAAAGGGAATAAACAAGTAACTGCCGGATCATGGATAAGTTAAGAGTAAAAGGTAAACATATTACATGCGCCGTGAAAACAGAGCATCTACAATCAGAATACAAATAATCTACAATTTATCTACAAAATATCTACAAACTGGGTACATTGAATTTTAATATCCCAATTCCCATTCAATTGTAGCTTAATTGGTATTTTCGACATAATTACGTTTTTTGCAGAAGATTTTGTAGAAGTTTTAGTCGTTCTGGATTTGTGAAAACAAAAAATAATGCATCTACAATCAGAACACAAATAATCTACAATTTATCTACAAAATATCTACAAACTGGGTACATTGAATTTTTATATCCCAATTTCCATTTAATTGTAGCATAATTGGGATTTTTGACATAATTGCATTTTTTCAGAAGATTTGTAGAAGTTTTAGCCGTTTTTATTTGTGAAAACAGAAAATAAAGCATCTACAATCAGAATACAAATAATCTATAATTTCTGCAATATGTCTTCTTCTTCTTCTTCTTCTTCTTCTTCTTCTTCTTCTTCTTCTTCTTCTTCTTCTTCTTCTTCTTCTTCTTCTTCTTCTTCTTCGAGTTTCAATCTGAAATTCAGTCAAAACCAAGTCTAATCTTCACCAATACCCCTCAAAATTGAGATATAAACTCCAAACCATATTCTCGATTATTTTCAACAACACCCAATCCAAACAAATAATGATTTTTGAAAACCCAAATTTGAATTCAAAGTTTTCAAGCTTTTTAATGGTTGTCAATGGTGGAGTTGCTGCTCTCTTTTCATTTGCTTTGTATTACTGAAATTTGCGATTGAGAAATAGAGAGAGATGTAGAGAGAATGTCGACGAACTGAGCTTTTGCAGAACTGATTTCTACAATTTGATTCGAATTTGTTGACGATTTTATCTTTTTTTTGATTTGTGGCTTAAGGAAAATATCGAAGAATAGAGTTTTTGCAGAAAAGAGTCTATGTAATTTGACTTTAAATTGAAGATATAGGATTTGCGTTTCAAATTTGATTTGAAGGTCGCTAAATCAATTAGAATATTTTGTTCCTAATTTGTAGCGCGCCTAATTAGGAAGGAATTAGCTCCTAATAATTAGTATTTAATGAATGGTATAATAATTGTAGAAAAACTGTGAACATGGCAGGTAAATATGAAACTATGCACATTTTTGGTAATAAGGTTTCATATATGGTATAGAAAGAAAAAAGTTTAATATATGTTTGGCCATAGCTTTATCTACATTTTGGTAAATTCCCAAAACCCAAAACCCAAATCCCAAAGCCAACTCATCACTATTATATTTTTTAAAAATTGCCCCAAACTTTTGTACTTTATAAAAGATCTCACCATTTATTATTTTGTAACAATGATGATTCGTCTTCTCAGTCATCCGATAGTATATTATGTAGTTCATTATAAAAACGATCATTTTTGTACCAAAAAAGTGAAATCTGTTTTGAAAATATATGTCCAAACACATTTTTATTTTCAAATCCAACTTCACCCAAATCCAATTTTTCAAAACAAATTTGAAAATCTATGAAATGCTAGCTTGAAGATTAAGGGCGTGATTAGTTTCAATTTTATATTGTCTCTTTAAATAATTAGAAAATGAGTTTCTCCTATTTGCTTCCACATAAGAATACAATAGAAATTAATAGGAATGAAGTTTGAAGATTCAAGCATGATATCTGTTTTCATATCAGAAACGGAGCTAAAATTTGAAGTTTATGGGTTCTAAAATAAATATTAAACCATAGCGAAAGACTAAATCTTTCTATACAAAAAATAAAGATTAAATCTATTTGTGCAATATTTTAAAGGAGCTTAGAGTTGCAAGCTAATTTTTATTGTTTAAAATTTTAATTTTTTTCTAAAAATATAACTTTAACAATGCAATGTAAAGTTATGATTAGCCGTAATAGTTCAAAGATGATTTTTTATATATTTTAAATTAACATAGTTTATTAACAACAATAATTGTTTCATATAATTTTTATTCTTGCATGCCAAGTATCTGTTGTTACAAATATTGGGTTATCTAATATTTGATTTTTAGTTTTAAAAAAAAAAAAATCATGCATATGCTAGAGGTCATATTAGACTTCAAGAAAATTACCAGAATTTACGTACTACTAAATGCTATATTAAAAGAAAGGAATATTTATTGTACATTTACAAATAAAATAAAATAAAAGGAAAATATATTCTACAACTTTGAAGTACTTTTGATGGTTTAATTCTACTTTTGGTCCTCCAATTACCATAAGTACTACAACCATGTATTGTTGCTTGTAAATATGCTTAAGCAGAAAAATATAGAATGATAACAAAAAAAAAAAAAAAAAAAAAAAAAAAAAAAATATTAAACTGAAAGTCCAAAATACCATAAAATAAGAATGATCGGTAAGAATGAGTCGTGCATCTTTTCAGCTATTGAATATTTTTAATATTTTTTGTGTAGCATTGAAATTTTTAATACTTGATCATTACTCTCTAATCTTTTGTTATTTAAAATTTCAACATTTGATCCTAGTGGTCCACCGGACAATTAAATAAAAAATAGCAGATATATATATATATATATATATATANAGTGTTAAGTTCTACGGCAATGAACTCAACGTCGTCATTTATAGTGATTCTGGTACTGTGAAAAATATGTTAGACGTGCTCAGTTGGGTGATATTTTTGAATTAGAGCATATGCTACTTACTGCTTATTTGGATGGTTGTTACATATCGATTTTATAATGTATCGTATTGTATTGTATTGTATCTTTTGATGGATACAATGTTTGGATAATTGTATCATTTGTCGTTGTTTCATGATATCACGCACCAACAATATGAAGAATAAACTTGCAATAATATAAAATAAAATGAAAAAGTTATGATACGGGGTAAAATTATTATATAAAAAGGTAGATAAAATAAAATTATTTAATAATAATGAAGGGTGAGATGAGAAAAAAAGACGAGGTAACGACGCAACCACACCAGATCGGTCGTTACATAAAGTGACACATTTCGTTGTTATCCAACGATGGATTTAAGAATACGATACAATAAACTTTAAGTAATAATCAAAACAAACATCGTATTTAAAGTAACAATACGATACAATACAATAGGTAACAACCATCCAAACAAGTTGTTAGAAACCCGATGGTGTTTTTTGTAGCAGTCCAAGGGGTTGGTTTACTTTTGGGCATGCTTCGTTTGCTTTACTCTTCTTCTTCGGACACATTTGGTACGGTGGTAGAATCTTGTTCAGAAATGTTTTTGCTGGTATTGACCCAGATTTAGCTGCTCAAGTCGAATTTGGAGCATTCCAAATATTAATGGTTGTTTTTACTGTTCGAACTCGTGACCTATAAGTTATAAGGAAACAACTTTATCATTGCTTCAAGGCTCCCTTCACTCATGCATTGAATTAGATCTGTGTCCTTGTTACACGAGATAAGACCAAATTCTCATATATCCGCTTTTTTATTACAACTTTCTTTTGTGCATAGTGTAGTTGATGCATTTTGCATAAGGAAGAGAGAACAAAAAGATCATTACTTCTCACTATTTCTAGGAGTGAGTTTTGCTTGCTGATATAAGAAATGGAAAAACATACTCATTTGTGATTAAACAAAAAAAGGAAGGAATATTTCTATATTTTCAATGGAGGTAAAACGAATAATCTTCTGGAACTGGAAAATCACACAAAAGTGACAACTTGAGCCGGAGATCAGTAACACCTCTACCATGTGTTCCTCTATACAAAGGAAAAGTGAATTCACACACTAACATAGCGAGTATTCGCAGTCTAGCAGTCGTGTTAGAATTTCCTCACAACTAGGTCTTTCGTTTGGCTCTGCCCAGCAGTCTGCAAAATAAATTTTTAACCAGCTCAGCATAAAAGAAAAATGTAAATGCTAGATCAAACATCTAGCTGTAATTGAGTTTAAATAAGTTCTATGCACAAAAGGTAAAAAAAAATTTACACAATCGAGTCACTTATAAAGTAGTAATTAAACTAATTTGATAGTGTAAAGAATCTTTATATTGTCAGTGTATATAACTTAAAATTCAGCTGTAATTACCTGCGATTAGTCTGCCAAGGGGTCCTTCAGGTATCTCTAGCCTTGCTCCTTCATTGGCAACGGCATAAACTACCTAAAAATAAGCACAACGCATTACTGGATGCGGTAACATACCCGATCTGGTGGTATACCCTCCCACAGTCTGTTTTCTAGAGCTCATTAACTTGTATCAAGCTACAAGGTTAAATTAACATACCCGATCTGGTGGTATACCCTCCCACGGTCTGTTTAGGGTGCAAAGCTCCCACATTATCACGCCAAAGCTAAAAATGTCACATTTTTCCGTGAAAGGCTCATTACGAATGAGTTCTGGAGCCATCCATTCAGGAGTGCCAGCAGACGCCGAGTCTCTCAGAAATGCATCTGTCATTATTCTTGAGAGCCCAAAATCACAAATTTTGACGGTCCACCGCTTATTCACGAGGCAGTTTGCACTTTTTAAATCACGATGGATAATCTTCATCCGATGTAAGCACATCAACCCTCTTTAGCTCCAACAGAAAAATGAGTCAGTTTCTATTACATATCTGCGGTATTTTTTTCAGAGGTTTTAATAAACCAACCTGCATATATCGCGAAGCATATTGAGCCTCTTCTGCCAGCTAAGCCTCTTCTTTTGACCACTTAAATGGATCAAATAATACAGAGATCCCATCTCCATGTACTCAGTAATCATTGATAAACGTGGAGGGTTTGCACAGGCACCCAGGAATAATATAACTGTGAGGAATGGCATTAGTTAGATCACACTCATCTAACTACGAATATCATACTTTTAAGCAAATTGGCAGTAGGAAAAAACACTTAAAAGAAACAAGAAAAGAGATGTACCATTTGGATGCCGAAGTCGGCTGGGGAAAAGATGACAAGAAAACAACACTTAATGTTAGTATAGTATGGAGCTGAAAGAACAGAATCCATAAAGAAGATACAACACCTAAGGATAGAGATCTCATTGCAGAAGTCCTCCATATTTTCAGCAGTAAGATCTTGCTCCAGAAAAACTTTAATAGCAACCTCAGTTCCATTCCACTTGCCACGGAAAACTTCTCCAAAGAACCCTAGAAATATAACCAGAGGGTTTAGACCTCAATCTCTGATACAACTTAGGGTGGTGAAACCAGATCATTCATTATAAAAATCAGAAGTCAGCACCATATTGTAAGACTCAGCATTGATTGTACCGGTCATTGTACAACAATTTTTTCTTCTTCTGATGAAATGAATTAACAAGACGTAAGAAAATACATATCTGGTCCTTGATCATAGAAGAGACAAGAAAATCACACTACTTTTTTCAATAGGTAATGTACAAAACTTTTCCAATACAAATCCTTCTGGCATCCGTTTGTATCCATATCTAGTGCATCTCTTACACTTCAGTGACACGACACAATTTGTTTCTTATTTGGCAAGGGTGTTAGACACTGTGAGGACCTCATTCTCTAAGACAAGAAGACTGGATAGGATGCAACTTCTGGTGTACATTCAATTTGCAAGATCCGCATTCAAGTTCACAGCTTTTAGTTTAGCATCTCCGTTCACAACAATTTTTTTGCTGTCCATGCCCTAGGTATCATCTGATCAGTAGCAATAAACCCATTGCAGAGGCTCATGTATGGAACAACAAAAAATAATATTAAGGATGGAAGATTTAGATACAAATCACGAGATACAGTGTTTGTTATAAATCCGTTTTGAAATCAATACAACTAAATTCTTTTAAGTGGAACATAGGATCTTAGAGCTGATAGTCACAAGAAAAGAGACAGACGATCAAGAAAACAAATAGACTCATCTCCATTTATGGTGTCACCTTTAGTATGTCAGAACTAACAGAAGAACCTATTTCACCCCAATGTCCACATGTGTTTTTTCTGCCACAGAGGCCACAAAATGTTGCCATTTTGTACCTCAGATTCAAGAGAAAGAAAATTGAAATGAGACATTTCAGGTTCAGTACTAAGCTCATCTTTCGCATTGAGAGGTGCAGAAGCATATTGGAGAATCTATGAGCAATGTAGCAAAACCCAACAGAACACATCAATAGGCCATTAGAAACCCTCCCTGTGTCACTAATCTTCAATATGATCCACTTTCTTGTCTTAGCCCTTCATAGATGTTTTAAAATCAATGTATACTTAGTTAAATAGTAAGTTTAGATAGCTAAGGGTGATCTACTTCCCTCGCTCCCTCACATAACACATATGAACCCTCATTTGCTTAGGTTTACTTGAATACGGTCCCCAAGTATCCATCCCTCTGTGGAATCCTCCATTGCCTGAAGTGAAGCAGATATATCCGATTTTCATTTAATGCTAATTAATGCACAAAAGGATCAAAGACTTCGTGAGATGATGACAAAGGATGAGCTAGGTTGCTCATACATTAAAGTTGGCAGAGCATGATCCGCCAGCAATAGCATTCTAGTCTACAAAGCATGAGACCAAGGAGCAAATGCGCAGTCAATGCAGGCCTATTAGTGGCACTAAAGAAATATGTTATCGAAGAACTTAACAAATAAAGAAAGAAAGAAGCTGAAATATATAAGCACTACTACAAAAATGTGCAAGAACAATGCTTACCTATTCCAACTCGGGTGCCAACAGTCAACTCTGAGAAGTCTATATTCCATTCTTCAAAAGGTAGAAGAGGCTTATTCTGATACATATGTGATTCTAGAATCCTGTTCCAGGTTGAAAACAATTCATTATTCGTCCTGTCCGGCCCACTACTTTCTGGAGCCTGCCTCCTCAACTCGTGGGGAGATGAGGGTAATGACATTGCCTTCTGTGAACTGATCTGCTCCCTTGAAAAAGCAAAAAAGTTAGAATGCAGATCCAACATTTCATCACGCTCATAATGGTGAAAATTAGGGACCAAAAAGGTACACTAGTTAGTCATTGACTGAAACAAGTGGAGACCAAAAAGCATCAAACTATTGTGGGGCTGAAATCTGTGAGGTGAAGATAGAAGTATTAGTTGTCAATCAGACTTCCCATAATATCACCAAGGAATTTAGCATATACACCTGATACATGTCCAGCAATCTAGAGAAGGCAAAAATAGATTCAGACATGATCTTAACTTTCACAGATTGAAATGATGAGTTTCGGGTTCCAGACTGGTTTTGGATGGGAAAGCAACAACCTCTAGAATTAAACCAAAATCAGAAGCGAAAGCATAAAACTTTTTCATTTATTTTCCACAGTTAGATGAATCAGAGTTAAAAGGAAATTTCAATCTGAAATCCAAACATCAATAGAGAGTTAATCATAAAGGGAAAATAGTCAATGCTCTTAAAAGAGAGAAACTATTTTAACAACAAAAGCTAAATAACAATCCTCCTTCAACTCGTTTCCAATAGTTCTTTTCTCTCAAGTTCATCAGACGACCAACCCCCGACATTCCCTCCCAAAAGAAAAGACACAAAAAAAGAAAATACAATATTCGAATAAGTATGTAAATAAATATGGATTAGCAGCATTGCAACTTGTTTTCTCCAACAACTGCAACCAGTTATTATAGTTCTAACTCTTTCTTGATCAAATTTATTATTTTTCTTTACAAGTAAAAATAATTTAATTTCAGAGATGGCGCCAAGCAGGTGAAAAGTATGTTAAAAAGGCAAAAATTCATTAGCAGCCAGATATTATAGTTCTAACTCATATTTGATCAACTTTATCATTTTTCTTTACAAGTAAAAGTAACTTTATTTCAGAGATGGCACCAAGCAGCCGAAAATATGTATGAGGCAAAAATTCGAACTTCCTTTTCAAACATCTAGGGATCTAGAAACTCAAACAGAGAGTTAACACCATATACATCTGTGCACCAAAAAACCAAAAAAAAAAGGCAAGCATGTGTATCTAAGTTTATGTACAGGATTAGCTAAGCCTTTAAACCATTTTCCGTTCGACTCTAGCCAAATCCAAAAAATGCTTGCAGCAATGGTGCATATTTTTCAGCCTATACAACTAAAAGTGATCAAGTTTATCAGCATTAAAGCTGATATATGAATGCGGCCCTTCGCCGGACCCTGGGCGAATACGGGATACTTTGTGCACCGGTCTGCCCATTTAAATCTGATATATGAACTTAGAATTACTAAAGTAGTACAAATATTCAGAGTTGGGGATCCAAGTTATTGTTAGACTTGACAAAAGAGAGTCTGATATCTACGGCGAACACTAGCATAAATATTTAATCCAAGTCCTCCTATGATCTTTGTCAAATTAGTGCTCACCTGCCGGTTTGATTGGCAGGGATTAGGGGCATCACCATATCAAATGACATGATTATGGTGCATTGGGTGTGGTGACAATTAAATCATCAGACTTTAGTTTTACGGAGTTTTACCTAAAGAAAAAGGCAAAAGTATGAGATGTCATTCCGCATTCTCACTGAGTGTTTCAAGTAACAAAAGGAATGGATTTATTCCCTCTATGGTTAAAATGAATACATGGGATTCAAGGAAAAATAGTAGGAATAAATTGCAAACTTAAAAAGGGTATGTGTCAAACGAGGGTAGAGGTAGGTAGAGAAAACCAAATCCCCATTCTCCTGCACCAAACAGGTTCTCATCTAAAAAAAAAAAAAAACAGGCCCTGTATTCTCTTTATCACTTGATACTTCACCCACGAAACCAGAACAAAGGACACTATTAACACCGCAAAATTCTTCTGTTTGATTGCAAAGCATCAATCTATGCATCTATTGAAAGTTTAAAACTGACTCTCAAATAGACTTGATAAAAATTAAGGAAATAAAAGATAAAACAACAGTTAAAATAAAAATATAACCGTACTGACTATTAAGAACGAAAATATAATCGTAATGAATATTAAGAAAACACAATGTGCAGTGCTCAATGCCATCACGATAAGCATCAACCATAAACTATCCTACCCATGAAGAGGAAAAATGACTCCAAAGGATAAACACGCCAAAATTCATCTAGCTAGAATAGCAGATTAGTAACCCTGGCATCAATGGACAACATGTTCATCCAAAACCACAGTTCAGTAGAAAAACACTCAACAAGAATATGAGTTAAGCTTCTTTGCCCTTCAATCATATTCCTTTTACATTTTAAAAGAGGTACAACTGGAAAAACATAATTCTGCCGGTCATTGGGATCGAAAATAAGACCTAACTGTTACCATAGCAATGACATCAAAACTACTAAAAGTCCTCAAAACAGAGAGAAAAAGTAACATACATCCTTTTTCAGATCCGACGCACAATCTCTGTTGTTTGAAGCATGAAATGAACTATTTTCCCCTTGTTCTTTCAAGAGTCGGTTCTGCTTAAGTGCTTCATTCATTGCTCTAACAGCCCTGGTATCAATATGAGCCAAAAATGAAATTAAGTACAAGAACATGGTACCTAACAAGTGTTTAAACAATCTTCAGGTCAACATCCATATAGTGGCAAAGAACTTCCAGGCACAATTTCTAGGTACGGTATTCTATTTCTGCCAGTAAGTGGTCCTAGGTGATGTTCGGATAGTTCTTTGGAAATGTTTATTGCGATTCATAATTGTTTGATTTTCACCAATCCACCCACATTATTACTTTCATGACCATTATCTAAACATAATAACATTTCAATAAAGTAACATGTATTAGGCAAATGAGTTATTATGACAGCAACAATTTAAAAAAGCAAGAAAATAATATAAAAGATAATAAAAGCTTACAGCAAAACAAAATAAAGTTAGAGAAAATTTTGAAAAATTCAAGTAAAATATGGAATAAGTAATAGAATAAGAAAGGTGAATTATGGAAAAAAGCTTAGAGAAAAAACAAAGGGAGGAAATAAAATAGAAATTCTTTAGATTTCAGAAAGAATTTAAGAAAGAAGAGTCAAAGTGAAATCAATGAGCTTTGCTTTGCTTTTTTGAAAAAACAAAAACACATTTTCTTGCTTCTATATCGATTACCTCTGTTTGTGAACACGAAAAACTTTATAAACGTTTTCAAATAAAACACAGCTGAGAAACTTTTTGGTATGTGCCAGGAAGATAGGTATAATGACACAGTAGGAATCAGTACGTTCAGATTTGCACAAAGTTTATACAGGAAAAAGTGAGCCAATGTATAATAGAGGTGCAGTAAGCACTGTTGATAAGACCGTTATAGTAGAAACATTGACCTTACGATATCATCACCAATTTCTGGAGTTATACTAATGCTTCTTCTTCGTAATCTTCGTGTTTCTGATGTTGATGCACCTTCTGACCTGTGAAACACAGAAACAATAGGGAACTCAGCATTCTGGAAAGAAGAAAAAAATTCTTTTTGAAAAGGTAACATATAAATAATAATAATAATAATAATATTTGACAATCCTGATATGTTGATTCTGTTATTAACAGGAAACAGGGTGCATCTTACGAGTATAAAAGTTTAGAACCTGCACATATTTTGACTTAGATGCACACTAGCATTTTTGGTATTACCTCTCCACAAAAATATAAAAGGGTAATGTAGTTCTGTTGAGAACAGAAAAACTGAAAAAGCACATAGTTTTTCCATTTTAAAGAGGTTTTAATTTTACTCTGAGATGGTCTATAAAAAGAGGTAAGAGAAATCGAAGTGGTGGAACATGTTTAAGCTTCTAATGACTTAGGAAGTGTTCCCATAGCAAGAAAACCAACTGCAGTATCATACTGAAATTAGCAACTGGCTCATGTCGTTTTCCCATGTATTGTTCTCCTTTGCTATTAAAAGTATGTACCTCTTAATTTTAACAGCATGTTGAAAATAATTTTTGGGTTAACCAATACCTAAGCATCTCGGTGAATTGCACTAAGTTGCACTGAAACAACCAATCTCAAATCGATTGCTGAAGTGATACATGGATGGGAAAAATTTAAAAGCTTAAAACTCATTTTGAGCCCAATATGAATTTAAGTCGCTTAAATTTATCTACAAACTATGGAGAAAATGATCAAAACGGACCCTAATGTATGAGCTTTGGTTGCGCTTGGTAATGTATAAACCTGATGGAAATGATCCTTAATGTATCCTAAAAGTGATTACTTGGTCCTAATCTCTATAAGTAAGGAAATTTGCTACTTTTTCTGTCAAAATAAACGGAGTCTTCGGCATGTGCAGCTCACATGAGCTAACTACAAAACAAAGGTGCCTTCTTGGTCGATTTTGCATAAATAATACCCACGGATACACCTACATGATTGGCATTTTTATCCCCACATTTTCACTTAATAGAGTATCAAACTCAATTCCCAAAAAAAAGATTTCATTAAGAAGCCCAAAGTTTCTCCTGGAAGACTTGGATGAGAAATTGGTAGGAACAATTACGAAAGACCATCACAATTATGGTGTGAGATAGAGAATGAGAAGTCAATGGAAAACGACCTGGAGTCGAGAAACTTGAAGGGTATTCTCTGGAAGACAAATCCGGAACCCTGAGAAGACTTTGATGGGTCAGTGAGTTGCAAAAAGGAGACCCTTAGTGATGATCTTAGCATCACCAATAAGGCCAAGATTTGGATCAAAGTGGGAACTGAGTCCAATGGAGAACGACAAAATGGAGCACGGGAGCAAAGCCAAGAGGAGAAGAAGGAAAGTAGGAAGATTGCTTTGATTAACATTGGTTTGCGTGGGCTCTGTTTATTTTGACGGCAAAACGATCCGGTATCATCACAGTTTCTCTATAAGCTATTAACATAATATCAAAGACACCACATCCCTGTAAAGCTTGTGCTAGACCCAAAATCATTTTTTTATAAAGTGAGCTCCCAAAATCATTTGCTGACATCGCCCATGGGCTTAGTTCAAGTGGCAAAGGTTGAGGGACTTGTGACTTAGGTCACAAGTTCGAGCTCCACGTCATGCGAATTAAGCCTGGTATTTTTATGGAGAAGAGCAGAGGGACTGGCTCATTATACCCGAGTTCTGAATGTTATGGTTGGTCCTAAGGGTTGGCCCCAGACGGATTTCTCAATCGTCAAGAAAAAATCATTTGCTGACACCTCATTCAGATGTTGACGAAATGTGTCCGTTGACAACACAAGGTCACCTACCCACAAAAAGATAGAAAGAACTGCCCTGCAGTTTATGCTTTTTCTTCTAAATCAAGGCACTCTTTACTCATTTATCAGCATTTCAGAAATTAAATACTCATTCACAATACTTCAAATGTTCTAACTCTATCACAATGTTGTACCTTGATGATTGATAAAGAAGTCCGAAATCCATACTAGAATTTCGGCCATGATTAACTTCAGAGTAGAATTTCATCAATTATACAATCTCACATGAGATGGCTCGTGAGAAGTCAATGATGCTCTGAAGCGACATAAAGTGATCTTAAAATATAAGATTCGGAACTAATATTTAAGCATCATTGACCTCTTTTATTACTTTTAACTTAAGTGAATGAACCAAAGGGTGTAAACTGGGAGCCACTAAACATGAATGAGAAAAATACCTGATATAGACCAAATAATGGGAGGGCCAAAAGTTACAATATAATTGATTGTGATTTGTAAATTTTGCAGTTATACTGTCAGAGAAAACAGAAAACGGGACTGAATCAGATACCTTGAAGTAGCAACATCATCTGAATAATCCCTGAATGTTTTGTTATCACCACTAAGCATGGACCGTCCATGTGCTCTAAATGAAGGATGCTCGGGACTGAAAGAATATAATACAATTGAAAAATGAGAAAAAAGAANAGGACTGAAAGAATAAAATACAATTGAAAAATGAGAAAAAAGAACACAACTACACATTAAGATATTGCACAGCGCAGTTCAAGTAAATGGAGATAATAGTCACTTTGATGTTTATTAAATACATAAACATCGAAGTCCCAGTTTATTCATCACATCCACTAGACAGATTCAGGGATTGAAAACAAAAACCATGACAAGCTCTTAAAAATATATGCATATACTTATTTCCCCTATGGATCAATAAGTTATATCTACAATCTCACATGTGAAGTTACAGTAGAAACTATTCATACAGGAGGTACCCCAAATGTAGGCTCTACCATGAGCTGTCAAAGCCGAGTAGTGACTTAAGGTATTGCAACTTGTAACCATCATTTGTCAACAAAAAAAGCCTGGAAATTCCTTTCTCAGAGTCTTCTATTACATTAATTCAGGGGGCCAGTATTTTTAGCTTAACACTTTCACGTATAGGAACAATCGCATTCTTTCATGCTTGCTCATCCAATTTCAGAATAATTCCCAGAGAACCAGATATGTGTCACCAATAAGATTCTACTTTTACACTCGGAATCAAAACTTAGCAACAGCACCAAGGATCACAACATAGCAGGATCATCCTCATCTTCTGACAAGGATCTATGGGTATAGAGTAAAGATAATCGTATAGTAGTGTCGAATATTACAATGGAATTAAATCAGATAAAAAAAAATCCAACCAATCAAATTTGACACTCCCGTGACGTCAGGCAATGTGCAATGCACAAAGAACCTTAATCTTTTTTATAAGTACAAGTACCTTAATCTCAGAACACAAAGACCTCAAACACTCTGTTTCAGAAGCATGCTATCCTTTACTTTAAAGCTACCCAACATGATAAATTTGTCTTCATTTATGCCCTACATGACCTGCTCAGCAGCGCCGTTCTGATTATCCAATCAAGGATATGTTCATGGCAACAAAGTTTGGTAACATTGACGTTGAGAAGTGATGCCGTCAGAAAACCTACTAGAAAATGAATAGATTTACCTGTGTGTTTCATAATCATTTTTAACATTCACACCCAAATTCATGTAACATACTGAGAGATGTGCAAGCACAAATAGACCCAAACATGACAGGACTGTGAATAAATATATTATCAGAAGTCCAAAATATTAAAAAATCATGTTAAGGAAGAAAAGAGTAGAGTCTGGGTCATGAAAAAGAAACCTTGAACTTGCAGTCCTCGGTTCTGTTATAACTTTCCTGCGACCTCTTCTCCAAACCGTTGTAGCAGTATTAGGTTCACTATGCGACAAACTGGTACAAAAATGATTTAATACGAAAGAAGCAAAATAATACCTTAGTTTCCAAAAGTAATCCAACAAATGGACGTTCAGAATGTTTTACATTCAAAGAGGTCTCAATATGAGCTAAATAATACCTCAGTTTTCTGTCAATTGAAGTGTTAGAACGCAACATCATATTCCTCAACGAATATCCAGCAGCATTTGAAGATGCTTCAAATCTCCTCTGATACTGGAGGATGTCATCTTTTTCAGAACTGTAGAATGGAAGATCAGTTTAAAATAGCAGGCTACAATATAAGTGAGCAACAATCTGTTTCTCCACCAAAGAAAAAGAAATTTCTAAGAAAAGTTACAGTATGTCTATGAAGATTCTCATCATGCAACAGAAGAAGAGTACAACAACAACAACATACCCAGTATATTCCCATAAGTGGGGTCTGGGGAGGGTAGTTTGAACAGAAGAAGAGTATGAAAACTCAATAGAAAATTCTCATCACACAACGGAAGAAGATTATAGAAACTAAATCGAAATTGAATATATTCAAAATGAAGAATAATTTCCTTCTAACCTATCAGTATCGTTTCTCTCTGAAACCCCATAGAGGGGGCTGTTTGGCTCCAGAGGTGAATCGCAGGAATCATTTTCTGCAGAATCACTCTCCCCAGCAGCTATGTGGGTTAGGAAAATAGCCTTGGTTGTTCGTGGAATAAGTTGACCAGGAAAGCGCATAAGGTCAACAAGTAGCTCCACAGAATTTAGCACAACTAGTATAGACATGTGCTTATAAGATTCTTCACACTCGGACGCTCCTTCAGCAGGTAAACCCTGATTTGTGAAACATAAAATTATAATAAGTAAAATATAAGCAGATATGGAAATTAAAGAAATGTTAGCAACGATTCATAGTAACAAGTAGCAAGACACTCTTTAGTCCTAATTTTAGAGATAAACAGAAATGTGCAAGCAAAAACAATTTTCAAGCTCACCACAACTAGCCGGCTTTCAAGACCTACAGTATCTGCAAGTAATTTGAATAATATTGCTCGAGGACGGCATGAGCCATGCTTTATTTGACCCAACATCTGGACACCTGGGTTGTCAGAAATGTGAGAGGCTTCATCATGTGAGGCTTTAGCATGACATAGTTCCAAGTTTGGTCGTTTGTAAACATCAGACACCTGTGTAGGAAGTCATACAAGCAACAAAAAGAAATCACAAATGTCAATAGACCTTAACGTCAACCCTTTTCCCTCTTCTAAGAGTAAAACTTCAAAGCATAAACCTACAGATTTCACATGCTCCCACCATTTTAACACTAAAATACTTTCAGTTTGAATTCTTATGCTTCCCCATTAGAAACTAAAAAATACATTTTTTTTTTTTTTT